AATATTTACATTCTTTTTTTCACTTGTAATAATTTCATCATTTTTATCGTAATTTTCGTACTATATTATTTTTTCCATCCACTGTTATGGGTAAAATTTTTTACCCATTTATTTTGGATAAAAATGAAGAGAACAAAAAATTTCCTTTTTTTATAGCTATAGCCAAAATACAAAACAATTTAAGTAAAAAATGAAACTTTAGCATCTATCATTTTTATTGATTCTAAAATTATATCCTTCCTTATCAAATATTAATGCTTTCATAGCTAATAATTTAACTAACTATAATTTTTGATTTAATTAATTTTAATTCTTTCATTCTTTTTCCAGTTCTTAACAATAATCATATGTGGTGGTCCGCTAGTAACACTTCTAATTTTTATAACTATGCTAAGCCGACAACAAAGGCATCGTTCGTTAGGAAATAGACAAAAGTATTATCCGCTTACTCATAAATTCGATCATGATGTTATCGATTCGGTGGATGAGAATTGCAATCCGGAAGATGAATTATGATATTTTTCCATTTTATAATTTACATGAAATATAAAAATACGGATTTGTTAATTAAATTGCAAGCAAATAACAAAATGAAGTTTTCGTCTGTGTAAATTTTATCAGTATTTAGCATATGCAAAAAAAGTGATATTAATTGAAATACAATTTCATTCTAAAATTAGATTTTTATTTTTGCATTTTTTTAGAATTAAAAATAAAAGGAAAAGAAAATGAAGAAATTGTATGACAATTTTGAGTTTTGTCCATATTTTCTATTTTAATATTTTTTTTGAAGAAGAAAAAATAACGAAAATTTCATTGTCTATCTTATATGACAAAATTATATAAAAATGGTTATATTTGAAGACAATAATAATAAATAAAGTTATGGTAAATTATCATATTTTACGAAATAATATATTTCTTTTTTCTGAAAAACAGAAAATCAAAAATTAATAAAATAATTAATTTGAATTGAAAAGTTCGGTGCAAACATATTCGGATAATAATAATAGTAATAATAATAAGAAGAATTATCAATGATTGATTTCATTCATTGTACAATAAAATCACTGAGAGAAATCTCGGGATTTATTATGGGATGTAAACATTTAGGATTGTTGTTCGAGAATGCCTTTCGATTGATATTCACTTTTTTTTTTTCATTGAATGTATGATTGTATGATTAATTTGTTTGTTTTGTTTTTTCTTTAATAAATACAATGAAAACTAAAGGTCATATAAACTTATGTGTAAATTACATGTAAAGAAACGTTAAAAAAATATATTTATTTACATATAAATTATATGAAAAAAAAATATATGAAATAAACAAGACAAATTCCGCATGTGAATTGACAGAAAATTGATGAATAAAATTTCGTACGTAAACAGAGAGGGAAATTATGTTAAAATTTCACGTAAAAATGAGGAGGAATTAAGTTTAAATTTCATGTGAAAATGAGAGTAAGGTTGAAATGTGATGTTTGTTATGTATAAAATAAGTTAGAAATAACTGATCAATAATAAACCAATCATACAAAGCATAACAATGGAATGAGTGGCACAACGCAACGGTAAGTATGAATAGATGAATGTGTACGTGATAACTATTTTGACCGGTGGCCATTTACTATGGATACGCATCGTCGTCCAGTTGGCATCATATCTCGTATTATACGTTTTTTGATTGGTGACGAAATTTGGACATCCTGTCATTTCGTTGTTTTTTCATTCACATTTATAAGGTGTGTAATTTAGTTGGATTGTAATGAAATAAAAATTAGCATGTTTTATTTCAATTAAAAATTTAATTAAAAATACAAAAATTGACATTTTAAGTTTGATTATATTAATAATTAATGCCATAGCAATGATCTCTAGTATGCTGAAATAAAATAACTTAATTTGAACTTGATGTAACTTAATTGAAATTACAGTGTCTCACAGGTTTTTTTTTTTCTCTCCTCTCCTTCTTTCATTCATTTCTCCTTATTGATGTATTATTTTTTTAGCTTATAGCATTTGTACATATGAAATACGATTCCACTTATCTTTCAGTTATGCATTAGTGCACGCCTCACGTAAAACGTTAAGTACGGTAAAACCGTCTCTTATCAATGAGTGGACTGATAACAGCACTGGTGAGCAACCATTATTTCCTGATAAGCATACAGCAGAGGGATTCTTAGCATTCCTCGATGGTGCATTCCTCGGCGCATATGCTTTGGTGTATATTTCTTTTTTTTTTTGTATTTTGACAAGTTTATAGAAATGTCTTCAGTTCACATAAGTAAAAAGTGATGAATTCACGTGTAACGGGAAGATGTTTACACTTTACTTGATTTCTTCTCTTATCCTCAAAGATAAGCTGTTAGATACGAATGAACGATGTTAACAGGTAAAGAATATTGTGGGAACATGTGAATGACTTTCAGAAGTGTTTGAGGTTTGAGAAATGCTATTTGCAGGGTCTTTATGTAGGTGGCACATTGGGAGACCGTTATAATCCGACAAAAGTACTTGCTCTGGGCATGTGGTCATCATCCACTACCGTAAGTTTACTAATTTGCAAAATTTACCATGATTTGATGTGTAAATAGGTAATTAATCATTAATCGAATCTTCCTTAAGAAAATAGACATGAAATGAACATTTAACTTGATATTCAGGAAGACGAAAATGGTTTTATAAATCAACAACGCTCAGAATAGTTTACATAAAAAGAGAAATGTGTTATTGAAATACTTTATTCTGGAATGAACTGGTTTGAGATAGATAAATTTGATATAGCTTCACATTCCATTTACATTGGAAGTATTACATCAGTAATCTACAATCTTTTCAACATATGGATATTTCTTTTTGAAGGTATTTTTGTTCGGAATGTTAAAATGGTCAGTGTTTCGTTCGCCAGTATATTACGCCGCAACGTGGATTGCTTGTGGTTTATTTCAATCTGTTGCTTGGCCTACCGAGGTATCTTCTAAAATTACTTGAAAAATTTACTTTTTAAACTATTTTTAAAGTTGTTTATTTAAGTGCCTTTAAGTTTTCTTAGAGGAAACCTTATCAATTAACTTAACCTGATTTAAATGTTTTATGAAGATGATTTTATAAAATAAGTTAACAGAATTAGGGATGATGACCTTTGCAAATGCTCATGTATTGAAGTACGAAACTGATTATAGATCTCGATTATGGGTAATTGGTTCGGACACAATAGTCGTGGTGCTGTAATGGGGCTTTGGTCAGCATGCGCTTCAGTTGGTAATATAATGGGCACATTAGTTTCATCTTACACTGTGCAGTTAGGATACGAGGTAAGTCATTGAATATTTGAAGTGGAAGCGTTTCTTTTCCCAAAATTTCTTCATTTTCATCATTTACTCAACCATTTCCTTGTCTGTAGCGTGTGAACGTACGCGAGACTTAGCTTTATGCTTTTATTTACGGACTGTCTAACAGCTATCGATATTTAATGATCATTAAATACATGTTAATATTAATAGATCTTTATATTTAACAAATTTCA